TGAGCAGTTTGCACTCTCATATGAGAAGAATACAACAGAACACTGCATGTGAGCCATCATTTATTCAGAACATGAAGGGAAACCTCGACACGCCTGTTTGAGCGTTGAGCTGCATTTACAGGCTGTTGATCTATGTGAAGCAAAACACGATGTTCAAGCTTTTAAGAGTCATTTCATTTGCGCTCCGATATTTATGGCTTTGAGACGAGTAACTCCTTGAGGATTTGAAGATTTTATGAAGACCTTTTCCTGTGAAACAAAGTATGAACAGAGCATATTCATGAACACTTACGCAAATGTCAGGAAGCATAATATAACCGTGGGCTGATTTCCATCTACAGATCCCGTGGCAGGTTTATGTTAACAAAATGGTAAAACACACACTATTTACATAGACAATATACAGCTAAGTCAACAAGAGAACAAGGACAGGAACAGTGAGGAAGAATGTAGGCAACATAAAAATATTGTCTCAACTAGAATCGTTGTTTAAATTATTACAATTTTATAGTATATAAAAGTATAAATAAATCAAAACACACTATTCTTGTGCTGAAATTATATAATAGTGCTTACAAAAGCTATTTGTTTACAATTTCAATCAGTCGGATGTTGTTATTTAACTACTAACAGAATTCGTAAACTTACACAATCAGGATTGTTTGTTTAAAATATGAATAGTATATTTTTGATGAATACTAGTGATTGGTGTTGAAAGGTTAAAAGATTACTCAATAAATCAAAATTTAACATCAATACAATACTCAATAATGTTGAGGTAGGTGTATTGAGGAGGAGACCCCAGGACAGACCAAGCACACGTCTCCAGCTGGCCTGGGAATGCCTTGGGATTCCCCCAGATGAGCTGGAGGTGAGCTGAAGTGTGTGTGGATAGGGAGATCTGGGCGTCTCTGCTTAGACTGCTACCCCCACGATCCGGCAATGGATAAAGCGGAGGACAATGGATAGATGGTCATTACTCAATTACTAAAATAATGTATAGCTGCCGCCCTACATTATTCACAGTGCAGTGTAGTAGATTTTAAGCTCCACTAATCAGGAATTTGATGAGATCCTGTTCCTTCTGCTACAACGGCAACAGCATTCTAAAATCTTAAAAGCAGGAAGCACCAGGCCTATTTTATTTCCAAACCCAACAATGGGCCTCATTCACGAATAACTTCGTAAGAAACTACTCAACTTTCTTCTCAAGTTGTCCTTAAGTAGATTTCTAAGAAGTCCCCACGTGGGATTCATCAACGCACTCGTAAGCCGCTGAATTGTTCGCAGCTGTTCTCTCAGATTGATGAATCCCATTTCCTCGTAAATACAGCGCGCGTGCCAGGTGCTTCATTAGCATAGGTACTTAGCATAAGTAACCGCCCATTAATGCCCATATAAGGGACTGCAGGGCCGTGTGCAGACGGCAGAGGAAACAGCAACAGGCCTAAAGCAGAGTTACACGGAGCAAAATAGTCACCCTTTTTTCTTCCTTTACCAGACTGAGAATAAAGTTATAAAATGTTGACTTAAAAGGCGAAATATTATGATAATAAAGTCGAACTAGCAAAATTATGAGATTAATCTAAGAATATGATGAGATTAATCTCAAAATGTTATGAGCTTAATTTAAAAATATATTATGTATTATTTTAAAGATGAATCTCAAAATGTTTTGAGATTAATCTCAAAATATTTTGGACCCTGGGAGGAGATCCAGCGCGGACCAGCGCTGAGACCAATGCAGACCCGAGGAGAGACTGGAGTGACCAGCACACAGAAACCAGCGCGGACCTATAGGAGAGACCGCATAGACTGGAGTGACCTGACTGGAGAGACCGCATAGACTGTAGTGACCTGACTGGAGAGACCGGTGCGCAGAGACCAGCGCGGACCGAAGAGAGACCGCATAGACCAGACTTGAGAGACCAGCGCGGACCCGTATGGATCCAGGAGCATGCAGCACGGACCCGTATGGAGAGAGACCAGTGCAGACCCGTATATGGGAGAGACCAGTGCAGACCCGTCTAGATCCATGGGAGAGACCAGTGCAGACCCGTCTAGATCCATGGGAGAGACCAGTGCAGACCAGTATAGATCCATAGGAGAGACCAGTGCAGACCCGTATAGATCCATGGGAGAGACCAGTGCAGACCCGTATAGATCCATGGGAGAGACCAGCGCAGAGACTCAGCGCGGACCCAGTAACCTCCTGCAGCAGCAGTATATATGCCGTTGTTCTGTGGCCCGTGGATAAAGAAATGCCCCCTATAAATAGGAAGGGGTCACTAATACACGGCAAGATTTCCAATGTATTTGATAAAGCGTTGGCACATTTCATTTCAAAATGAATTAAAAAGTAGGCCAGATCTGCAGTGAAAAAGGCGGTATATAAATAAAGATTACTAATAAAGATTACTACAAATAAATAAATACATACATCGATATGACGGACATATCACTGGAATGTTGTATTTTTATTCAACTTCACCAAAGAGGACAACCCCGGCGTGTGAACATGTCGGCACTGAATGCGTACGAGTGCTCCTGAGGACTCGTAGGATTTGTACTTGCCCAAGAGAAATTCTGGTTACGAGAAATATTCGTGAATGCCACTTTCTTCGTAAAAACCGCGTAAGTAGGATTTACGTACAAATCTGTTCCTAAGAACCGTTCGTGAATGAGGCCCAATGTATTTAGTACAAGCTATATCAAAAATCCCATCTTGTTGTGATCTTTTGGAAATTGAGTTCCGCTCCAAGCCTAGTAACAAAGCTAACAAAAGAAACCAAAACTTGAAAGCATATCGTTGGCTGCCGAGATGCCGAACAACCCTATCCCCATCAAACAGGTAACAGCCTTCATCCGATACAATGAAACAAAGTCAAGAACAAAGCAACGCTGCTTTTAAGAACGACTTCAATGACAGTTTTTACTTAACAAACGGCTGTGATAAAGACACCTCTCTACAAATAAAGCAGAGAAGAAGAAGAAACGTGCGGCATCTGTGTGCGCTATTGTGTAACCTACCTGTCTGCTTCTGCACCCGCCTCCCATTAATCCTGTTATTTAATACACGCTCTGAGCTATGAGAGCATCTTTCAAGAATACAGACACTCAATAGTCCATGGCCCGCCGAGAAATGTACAATCAATCAGTGGGATGGATATAAATATACACGTGCAACAGCGCATAAGCGAGCACACCCGCACGTTTCCTCACCAAGCCGGCCGCATCAATATTTCATTTAAGCAGCTTCGCCATTAAGGTCAATAGTCTATTTCTCTCGCCTCACACGAATAATAGACCCTCCAATGAACTACCGCATGGCTACAAACTATGTGAAAGCCCAGAGTCACAACATGATAATACAAAACTGTGCTGTATGAAAAACTAAATATTAGTTTTTCCTCTGTTTTAAATCTCTTCTGCTGTTTCCAATTTTAGTATGCGGTATAATACATGTCAGACTGAAATCTCTAAACATATCAATTCTTGCAGAAAAGCTGGAGGCTAGTTTTTTGTACATGTGTGAAATATGAGTAGCAGCCGGACAGCAAAAAGTCCAGAGTGAAGAATTTATAGAAAGGACGTTCTGCATTGACTGTGAGAGGGGGAAGGTCAGCAAAGGGACGGAAGCAAAATATTTGGGGTTTTGAAAGTATGAGTAAGGGTGTTGCAATGGAATAATAATGAAAGGGTTATAGCAAGGGTGTCAAACTCATGTTGGTCAGGGGCCAAGTTTGAAAACATAAGAGCTGGGGGGTCAAAAGAATAAAAGTAGTTTACTTTTATTATAATTATTTTAGTATTCATAATTTGGATCACTTTCAAACTTTAGAATTAAATAAATAATTCAATTTGATGTTTTTTGCATGTACATGTTTTCATTGATTTTTTGTAATTTATGTATTTATTTGAGAAAGGAGGAACAATACATATTAATGAACATTCTCACAAATGTAAATATGTCAGATTATAGCCTTAGGCTAATTTCCATCTGCAAACCCCCTGGGTCCAATAATAAGACTTTATCAACAGCATAGGGTCAGTAGGATCAGATCCCAAAACATTGAATTTGAAACATCCCTAATTGTCAGGTTAGGTATGAAGGGATGTCAAACTCCAGAGAAACCTTAAAGAAGACATCATTGTGCTTCTGTCATCATTGTAATCCCAATAGTGAGCTAAAAAGAAGTCCATGCACTTTTTTATTTATTTTCAGAGCAAATGATGCCATATCATCATCTTCGTATCACGGATTCAGAAGAGAAAATTGGCAACGTAAGTAAAAACAGTGGCCGTGTTGCAGTCGTCAGAGGAGCAATAGCCTCATGGGTGAAAGAGAATAAGAATTACTCAAACATGCATGAATTGCTCCACAACAACTTTGGGTGTAACTGCTGATAAAAAAAAATGGATATTGCTTTTCTATTTGTTCTCCAATATTTACAAAGGGCAAAGCTATTAGTTTTATTTCAGGCAGTAATCGGTTGATGATGATTTAGTCGATGATGATTTAGTCAATGATGATTTGTGGAAAAATGATTTGTTGACTTATTTAGCAAGCTGTAAAAACCCACCAATTTACAGCATTGGCATTTACAGCTAGTTATGAAGCATTACAGCTACTTGTATAGTGTATTGTGTGCGTTCCTAGTGTTCTCTTACCACTCTCTTGTATGTGCGCTGCAACATTGACATTTGCCCACTGTGGGACAAATATAGGTTTTCTGATCTTATCTTATCTTCAAGCTCAGAAAAGTTTAACATGTAATAGTTGTTGTATTTCTCGAGGCATCTCCAGTGATGCCATTTCATTCAGATCTCTAACGTGGACACACTCCTTGTACATAGTGAGCGTTGATCCTCGTCCGCTCCCTCTGCATCTCTGCCTCACATACGCCGGTGGCAGATTACACTGCAGCACACGCACACTGACATTTGAGGCTCCCAGAATCGCAATTTCTTGTGGCTTAGTGAACACACAGAGAAGCACAATGGGCTGGTTGTTCCGCAGTCCATCAGACAGAAGTAACAGTCAAGAGGACGCGCAGGGGTGAGCGGGTCAGATCAGCTCCTCTCTGCCCCTGGAGTAAACACAGCCACAGCAGCAGATAACCAAGGAGACTCTGGGAGGGAGACTCAGGGAGGGAGACTCAGGGAGGGAGACTCAGGGAGGGAGACTCAGGGAGGGAGACTCAGGGAGGGAGACTCAGGGAGGGAGACTCAGGGAGGGAGACTCAGGGAGGGAGACTCAGGGAGGGAGACTCAGGGAGGGAGACTCAGGGAGGGAGACTCAGGGAGGGAGACTCAGGGAGGGAGACTCAGGGAGGGAGACTCAGGGAGGGAGACTCAGGGAGGGAGACTCAGGGAGGGAGACTCAGGGAGGGAGACTCAGGGAGGGAGACTCAGGGAGGGAGACTCAGGGAGGGAGACTCAGGGAGGGAGACTCAGGGAGGGAGACTCAGGGAGGGAGACTCAGGGAGGGAGACTCAGGGAGGGAGACTCAGGGAGGGAGACTCAGGGAGGGAGACTCAGGGAGGGAGACTCTGGGAGGGAGACTCAGGGAGGGAGACTCAGGGAGGGAGACTCTGGGAGGGAGACTCAGGGAGGGAGACTCTGGGAGGGAGACTCAGGGAGGGAGACTCAGGGAGGGAGACTCAGGGAGGGAGACTCAGGGAGGGAGACTCAGGGAGGGAGACTCAGGGGGACACTTTAAAGAGCTGCAAGCGGCCATAGAGCACTCGCATACAAGACACTCATGATATGGCTGGCACCCAGTCAGACTCTTTGGCATCAGCTGATCTCAAAGACTCCTCTCATCACTTCCAGACAGTTAACGATCTGTTCTGTTAATGAGAGAATGCCACAATGCCAAAAATGAGGAAACAGAAATCCAAGGAATTATCTCATTGTTTGCTTTTCTACATGAATAACTTAAAAAGTAATCATACTACGCTTTTGTCTAGGATACAGTGACGATCAATGACATGTATGACATGTGTTGTGAAGCATGTGAGCCCCTGTCCGAAGACACATTTCTCGTATGGGAGACAATAAAAGCAGTATCTTATCCTAGAGATGATTTTTTTAAAGTGTTTCTGGTATAGTTTAACATTTATCAAGACATGTAGAATGTTGTCCAGTCTATGTAATTATTTTTAGATTTGATATTTGCTCATTCATTTCATTTTTAAAAAGTTTCAATTCTTGTTTTAGTACTCGATGCGCAATGATTTGATACTTTTGACAACCCTTGCTGTAGCAAACAATTATTTTGATCAAGATCGATTAATCTAGCAAATATTCTTTGATTAATAAATTAGGTGTTTAGACCGCTGAAGTGAGATTTGATCCATATTTAACTCCAAAAAGGCTGAGTGATACCTTGAGGACATCTTCAATAAAAAATCTCCAAATATTTATTATAAAAAACACAACATTAGTACAGTTTCCATGTTTTGATTATCAAACTGTTTGGGTCTTAAACCACAACTATTACAATTTGTATGTTTTCATGTTTGAAAATAGAGAAGTTATCGATTAAAATGTGTTGATTATTGGATTAGTTGTGGTTAATCAATTAATAGTTAGGGCATCTTATGTATTTAGAACAAGAACTGTCAATGTTGATCTAAAATGATGTCATGAGAAACAACATTATAGTATTATAGTTATTTTATGCTATATTCTAGTTTTAAACTGAGCACACATTTTGAGCTATTCTCAGACTTGTTTCTTGTTTTTATTTCATTTATCTTGTTTACCTCAATTAGATAGTGACTTACATACATTTTTCTTTTTCTTTTTTTACTCAAAGACTTGTTCTGAACAGCCTGATGTGCTGCTTGAAGGTCACAGTCATTTTTCATCAAAAGCCCTCAGCCTGTCCGAATATGATATTGATTTGTCTTAACACTAAAAAACATATTTTTGTCAACAAACATTTAAGTACTGGAATAAGAAAGCTCCACTCAACATTCCCGCACTAATTAAATTGGTCTCTTCTTGCCAATTATTGCAACACTGAATATACTTGACACAATCCTCGAACAGCTGCCAAACTCGAAAATGATGCAAAGCCTGCCTGTATTTACTAAATATTCAGAGCGTGTTGCGCAGAGACGGGCCGGTAACCACACTTCTCAATTACCCGAGTTTGTCACCCTGATGAATTATGCACATACGTTAGCTCACCTCTGTGCAGCCGCAGTGCACACATTTGTCAGGACACTGTCATAGAGGCCCACTGGGGTTATCTGCTCCCTGCCCAAGTCTCCTTTGCTCATTTAGACTGCAGCAAAACAACAGGAGAGGTTCAAGGTAACAGCTATTATTATGGCAGAAAAGGGACGCTAACAATATGCACAACTTGGGACCTCGGAAAACCGCATGAAACTGGTGTTGTCGCGCTGCTGCAATGTCATGCGATTCCTCTGTGTAAAGTCCTACAAATCTGCCATATTTATAGCAAGTAAATATGTAAGATATAATCAAGATATATGTATTAGCAAAAACAATGTTGAAAGTTGAAGGTGTTGCAGGTGATTTTGCCTGAAGTCCCGCCTTTCTGAAAAAAGGCGCTTTCCACTAGTTTTTTTTGCTCCTATACTGTGCTCCACCTTTTCACAGATACCTCCAAAACCGTTTTTTTTGTTTATGTTTTTCACTTTAGTTTTTTGCCATTTTCACCGAAAGCTGCATAAACAAACATGGCATCATTTCTGGCCGAACATTTGCAAGCATGGCAAAATGGGAAGCTTAATACTCAATGAATAACATTAATTAAAATACAACACAATTGTTTCTCGTTAAGCATTTTTGAATCCAAAGTTCAATACAGTGGCAATAAGATACAAATGGAAACTTGTGTTATGTCTGTGTGCTTCAATGGGACTTCAGATTGAAATGATCAGAAGATTGAGAAAGAGAAACAGAGGGAGGGGGTAGGGGATGGTACGCATGTATGGGTTTGGAGAAAAGGAGATTTTTTCAGATGTTCCAGTTTTCTTGATGACATAAACAATCTTGTGCCTCTACTGTCTCATGATTGCCTAATCCAGACCAAGACGCAGCCAAATTAGGACTCAACTAGGATCAAAACAGGTGAACATTAGGGGTGCCACGATTCTCCAAATCAATTTAGATTTTATGGTAAGCAAGCAATCTTTATTTATATACAGCCTTTCACAGACCAGAATCACAAAGCAGTTTACAATTGTTATTTTTTTGGGCATTTGTCTCTCACTCCACACAGAGATGGGAGCGGGGTCGCCAGTACAGGAGGCGCATGCCAGACCTATTGGACATGTTTTTAGTGGTAGGGGAAACCAGAGTACCCGGAGGAAAACTACGCAGACACGGGGAGAACATGCAAACTCCACCCAGAAAGGCCCTGGTCCGACCGGGATTTGAACCCAGGACCTTCTTTCTGAGAGGCGAGAGTGCTATCCACTCAGCCACCGTACCGTGCCGCCCACTGACCCAGCTTTTGCTTTTTCTATTTCTTACAGCACTCTGTAGCATACTGTAGCATAGCTCAAGTACTCTCATTAAATGTTTCAATCCAGCGTTTTCCACCACCAAATAAGGCTGCAAATCTGTTGCTTTAAAACCCCTGTAAATAAAAAATGATAAATGATCATTTATACTAAAGCTAGTAAGGGCTAAAATCTGTCAAACCAAGGAGGCGCGTCAAAACCATAGACTTTCATTGACTTTGCATTGCAACCGATCACGCCACATAAAGTCCGTAAACAAGCAGGTCTTACCGGCGTTCTCCTCTGTCTTTGATTCCCAGGTACAACTACACACAAGAGCACATAAACTAACTTAAATGCACTCTTGTTTACTGGAAAAACCAGGAAGTGTCGGTACGCCACTTTAAATAGCCCGGGTTAACCACAACCTGTCTGTGTACGCGCGCACAGACGTCGATCCTCTTTGATTTTGATGCTCGAGACCATACAAAATTGTGACACCACTAGTGAACAATATAAATGCTTTCTATGGTGGAATAAACTAAAAACCTGCAAGAATGTGTTATTCGATCCTGGATGACTCTGAACGTCTTGTGGCGAATGGAAAATACACAAAGTAGAAGGCAGTAAAACCCAACCACGTAAACAGTGCCAGAATCACTCAGTTCAGTTGTGAACAAAGCTCTTTGTAGATCTGTAAATCTACACTGGGTTTCTGATTTTGCATCTACATTACTGTGGCAAAGCAGTGGAGTTTTTCAAAGGTCTTTCTCAGCTCCAAAGATGATCCTGGATTGACACCGATATTTGTACATACCTAATCATGGCTTGAACATAATTCCAGCCATAATGCATACATGTCGTGGAATTGCATTGTGAACAATAATTTATCAATGAGCCAGCAAAAATGAAACATCTTTCCTCTTTCAAAGATAGGTGCAGACAGTCGCTATGGAAACTGCCTTGTCTTTTTGCTGCACAGCCAAAGCTACAGGTTAATATAAACGTATGGGCGGCTTAGACATGAAGAGAGAAAGAGAAAGGGCTTAAAGGTAGGAGGATTTTCTACTTCCGTTGGATCATTAAGAGTATTGGTCCTCTCAATCATTCTGGTGATACTTGCTCGTCAAATAAGACCAGAGAGGTTTGTTCAAAAAGTGGAGAGGGCGGAAATTTGGGAAAATCCTCCAATATACCTTTAAATAAGTGACTCTCAAAGGTGCCTGGCTGCGGCTGATGCTGCTGTAATATTGCATGCTGTGTGATCCCAGAGTCAGAGCTGTGCAGCACTAACCTCCAGACATACAATAAGAGCAGGATAATGCTATTGGATTTCACTCAAGCTAAGAATATAGCCTTGAAGGTTCAGGCTCAGACAAATTGAGAAATAGGATTTAGTCGTTAAGCTTAAAGAAGATAATAGAGTCTCCATTGCCAGCTCTACTGGTGAAATGACAATGTCTGTTCATTTTAAGTGTATAATAAAAACATAAAAAAATAAACTGAAATAAACAAAAAGATCAATAGGCAACATGGCAACTTCATATGTCTCATTTTGTAATTCTGCTAATGTTTCATTGACAATACAATATGTGTACGTTAATATACTGAGCAAGCCTTTATGGTTGACAATAACCAAGAACGTCAGTCGAAAATGAAATCACCAATCACCAATCCTAAAGTCTAAATCTTAAAAACTGAACAAGGGACAAACAGCACGTAGTTTTGCCTCTCTTCATTCACCTTTCACAATATTTGGCCTTGATACGCACAATTCAGTTAATAAGTTACACATTCAGTAACTATTACAATTTTTTTTTACTTTACTGGCATCAGGTATCAGACATCAAGGCATAACTTCAGAGGTGTCTAAACATTTTAATAAGAGGGTCACTTTAGATAACAAGACAACCCAGATTATTCTCCGAGGTCCTTTGAGGTGACTGCTGTTGTGATTTAGACTTTACCAAAATCACTGTAATTGTTCTGAGCTTTGACATTAGGTACGACATGTCCATATTGATTCACATTTGATGTTGAATGACATTAGCGCTATGTATAGTACTATGAGCTACAAATTAAGATTAAGAGATCCTTCATTCGTCCCACAGCGTGGAAATTTCAGTGTTGCATCACAAGTTACAGAACAGTAAGAATGAGAAGCACACAGCACAAGATAAGTGAACAATAGCTATACTTATTAAAATAAAACAAAATCTAACTCTAGCATGGCACAAACAAATGTGAGTATAGTCTAACAAAGGTTCTGAGCTTCACTGCAGCGA